TTCTGTCAAATTACATTTGGGACCCTAGTTGAAAGTAGTACTATATATAGTAGAGGACATATTCTATTAGGGCTATGCTAGGAAGTTGGTTTATTTTATTTGCCTTAGTTTGTTAGATATCGAACCTCCCTCCTTTTTTCCCTTTTTATTTTCTTCTTCCCTAAGAAGTTTTGGTTTCTAGTTTTGGAATATTTGTAATGTCCGTAGATGAACTCTTATATTTATGTGTGTGATTCCTATTATCCACTTCAATATAGCATGGATTCACTACACCCAACCTACATATGTTATTTTTAAATATAAATGTTACATGTAACCAAACCCACAATGCATAAGGCAATAAGGAAGAACAAATACCTAAATGCGAACAATGATTGAACAATATGGAAATCTCAGTAATATAACAGTAAAGCTAAGAGGAAATATAAGAGAAACAGGATACCAGAGAACACTCAACAGTGCTAGCCTCTACCTAGTTTTGCCTATCCTTATCCGATATGTAGTATTTATTATTCGCCTCACCTAATTCATGCCTCACATGCTCCTACTCCTATTTTTATGTGGAGTACATAATTTGCTAATTAAATTTTCATCCATGTCCTTCAAGAGGCTATTTAGCACATGTTCATAACATCACATGCTTAATTTAGAAGAAGTTGTCTGCTAATCGGTCTATGATGATAAGACGCAAAACGAGAGAACTTTTAGAAACAAAGCTTTAGGTGTGATTACAAGAGAGCGCGTGCTTTAGTTAATGCAACTAATTTTTCGTGTAAATAAAGCTCTAGTCCGTACGTTAGCAAAGCTAACTTGTATTCTATTATCGATAAGCTAATTAATCGTGGTTTAAAGAGAGTTCAAATGTATTCTCTTACATTAATATTTGTGATGCTGTTGTCGTTGCTTTGACGCAATTAATTAAGGGGGAGTTTGCTGAGTATATATGATTTTTTACGAGCTGTTTTGGGAGTGCAGCACTATATATTTCCCTTGATATACGAGTTGGTGGACTAGGTTTGTTGAAATAACCGTCACTCTGACTATAGGTCCACGTATGATAAAAGGTTTGCTACTTGGGGTATGACTAAATTAATGACTATGACATGCACGCATGGTCTAGTATATACTGTATATAATATATACATCAGTCTACGTTACTTTAACTTATATTGAATCAACAAGTACTACCTTTCAGGCAAGGAAATTAAATTCAGTTAAAATTCAACACTACTCTGCGCGTTCTTTATACTTAGCACTCTATTGACCAAAGTTCTACTCCTTCGGGTAAGGGTAAGGTCTGCGTACATATTACCCTCTCCAGACCCCATTAGTGAGATTTTACTGGATTGTTATTGTTGTTGTTGTTCTATTGACCAAAGTCTCGAACTCAATAAACAGAAGTTATAAAGAAAAAAGAAACAAAATCAACAAATTAAGTTGATCAGGTGTTTAAACATGTACAAGACGATAATTTCATGCAGGTCTGGACGGCTGGCCTGTGTTTTAATTTTGTAACTTAATTAATCCCATGGAATTCAACTTGAAAACTCTTTGTCACTATTATGTGTAGCTTCCGGGAAATTATCCATGGATTTAAGAATTGGAAAGTTAATCAGCATTTGACGGGATTTTCCACATCTTTTGGCCCTACGTCTTGGAATTTTTTTTCAATGAATATCTTATAGTGTAAACCAACCCGTACACTTTCCTTTGAAAAATATGAAAATATGAAAATATGAAAATATGTTGTTGTCTATTGTATGAAGAGAGGACCATTTGGATTTGAACAGTCGAGATTGCCCAAGGACCACCATTCTACTTTTGTCAAAACAATTCTAGAAGAGTTATGCATGGAAGATATAGTATTGAACAAATTGGAAAAGAGCTTATTAATAGTCTATTTGGTCAAACTTGCGAAAAATATTCTTTTTTTTTTTTCCAAAACACTTTTTTTTGCCAAACTTGAGGTATTTGACCAAGCTTTTTTGGGGAAAAAAGTGTTTTGGGGAAGAAGCAGAAAAAAGTCGCTTTTTACCAAAAGCAGAAAAACAGTTGACTTTTCTTCTTACCAAAAATACCCTTAACAAAATATAGTATATAACAAAATAACTGTTAAATCTAATACTTAGGATATTAATATATAAAATATTTCTTGTTATTTTTAGGATAGCTTTCTAATATATAGTGACTTTAGGGGTGAATATTTTTATATTTGTTGGATGATTTTTAATATATTTAACTTATATTAAAAGAATTAAGTACTTTTAAATTTTATTTTCATATTTTACTTAAATAAAATGAAAAGATTTAATTATTGCATGTAATAACAAATTTTTAAGATTATTTATTTACTTATAATATTAACTATTAAGTAAATTTATTCATGTCCTTATTGATAATTTGATACTTAAAAGTATTTTTTGAAAAACTTGGCCAAACACAAATTATTGCTCAAAAGTATTTTTCAGAGTGATTAGCCAAACACAAACTGCTACTCTTCAAAAATATTTTTTTTAAAAATACTTTTGAAAAAAAATATTTCTCAAAATAAACTGATTTCTTTAGCTTGGCCAAACAGACTATAAATGTCGGTATCACCGGCCACCCTATGCTTCTATCGCTATCAATGCGTTTCCATATCCGTTGTCCTTTCAAATCCTTTCCATTTCCCTCAATTATGTTTGTGCATAATATGGTAAATTACTTTATACATCTATTTCTTATTAACTTAAAACTTCTTCTGAACACATAAATTTCTCAAAACAAAACAATAAATAAAAGGCAAGACATACATATGAATAAATAAATTATTAAATTGTTTTAGAAACTCTACGATAGTTGTATTATCCTGCTTAGTAAATAATTTGGTTACATGTATATTATTTAGAAAAATAGTTTCGTCAATGACAGAACCAATTATCAAACCCAAATTTACACATTTATTCTTTTTATCTATCCTTCTCTTCCCTTCATTCCTGCTTTCCCCTTTATTTTTCTTCTATCCTTATAGTTGCCTATTTTTGCCTACTCTATTTATTAGTTGCTTCGGAATGGTATCCTATCGCAGTTGAAAAAGAGTTTTACTTTTAATTAATAATTGCAATTTCCAAAGTCATTGAAGGACCCGTTTTTTGATAAAGTAGAATTACAAATCTTGCTCAAACATTGTTAAATTGTATTTGAAAATTAAAACAAAAACGTAAAGAAGGATTCAATTTTACCTATTGTGAGTAGTACTTGTTGCCTGAACATTTTTTAGTTGTTATTGCTTTTATCATTACTTTCTTCTCGTGCAAACGAATTACTATCAAGTTCCGTAGGAGTATTATTATTGTCTTATTGAATGTTTCATATCTGCAGATTCCAAGTCTAAACTTTTCACCATTTTTGCGACTGATCAGAATATAGATAAGCAGGGGCGGAACCGAGAATAGACGGTACGGGTTCGTCGAATCCAGTAATTTTGGTCCAAACCATTTATTTATCTTATGAAATTTATTAATATATACAAATTAGTAATTTAGAATTCAATAACTTAAAAAGTTTAGAATCTCGAACCCATAAATTTCAAATTCTGATTTCGTAAATAAGTTGACAATTCTTTCAAACTCATGTGTATTTCGATATATTATCACTACCAACCTCCTTAGAACATCTCTAAGAGATTGGAATAAGATATCTCAACTTCTTCGACTTCACTTTTCGGTCCCCTCGGACTTCCTCCATGAAAGTAGAGCTTTTTCAACCTTGTTTTTCATATAGCGCTAAACGCTCTTGAAATTTTCTTACACCCTGAATTTCAGGCAATATTAACTACATATTAATAAATATTCATTATAAGGAAGCGAAAAATATTTAATAGAGCGTTTTTGAATTCTTAAACATAATTGGTGAAAAGAATGGAGGAAGAAAGCCTGATATATTCAACCGTGAATTTTGTTCATACCTGGATATAGTCATTGCAGTCAAAATCCTGAGGAAACAAACACATCCATATTATTACATCTCACTGATCAACATAGTGAAATAGAAAACTTTTGTTTATAAATTGAATAAACTACATACCATTACATATTAAATTAATTACCAATCAAAACTATTATATATTTATTAAAATTGAACAACGGCACTTGAAAAAGCTTGTCACTATCGATAAAAGAACTGCTAACTTTTAAATATTTAATACAATCAAACAACACGTACATAGCATTGGTGGCTTGGTATTTCAAAGAAGACTATCGTAGAACTTAGCAAAAAATATGATGATTGTCAGTTGCCAAGCATTTCCTAACCGTTGAATGGCGTCCTCTTAAATTATATGGAGTAATATTTGCATGCACCGTTATAATAACCGTTGCATTTCTTCGTTATGGAAGTAGAAAACAGATATTGAACACGCAAAATGAAGGGAAAAAAAGAAAAAATGAGAAAAAAGATAAATAGCTTTTTGATTATATAGAGGTGTCACATCACTTTTTTATTGCTCTGCTTTATATTAATATATAGATATAGATTTTTTTTTGTAGAAATTTCTAGTCTTGCTAGCAACGTGTCTTTACTGAAAGCTAAGAGAAAGTCGGCGTTTCTAGGAATGATGTTTTTCCTTGTAAGTTTCTTAGCTTGCAAGCGCGCTTTACCCAAATACAGTCCTCCAATTGGCTCTCCCCTTTTCTCTGCCATTAGTAGACTGTTTATAGGTAGGAATAGTATATAAATGTGCTGGTAATAAAAAAAGTGCCAATACCACCTAAACTATGGTTTGTTTAGTATAAATATAACTTCTCGTACCTACTCTCAGTCTCAATTAATATCGTCTCATTTCCATTTATGAAAAGTAACTTTCCTCCCTAAGCCAGAAGTCTTCATTGGTTTTAAATAAATCGTTCTTTTTCCTATCTGATACACCACGAATCGATCTTTCAATAAGACAAAACTCCATTTTTAATTTATCTTCCTAAAATCCTCCCTGCTTCCACTTAGTCCAGACTAGATTGTTGCAAATGATAAACTCCGAGTCCTCCTGTCTTTCAACTCCCATTGACGATGAGAACGTCTCTAACTTCTCCATTAGTGTAAAGCAATTAGCACATATCGTCGAGAACAACTCTAATAATAAGGGCTTTATGTGTCAAAGTACTTCTGTTATTCAACACCTATTTCATGCACTGGAAACAAATACTGATTCCGGCATATCAGGAGATTCAAACGATCTCTATCGTCGCCGCAAAGCCTTTGGTTCCAATACAAACTCAGAAGGCCGATCACCTTCTTTCATCACCAAAGGTTTCCATCAACTGATACTTGAGGCATTCAAAGACACTACCGTTATTCTTCTTCTTTGTTGCGCCGCACTTTCTCTTGTGATAGGGATTAAGATGAATGGTCTCCAAGAAGGATTATTTGATGTTTTATTAATCTTTCTGCCAATAATGATTGTTGTTAATTTTGGCGTTACCTATAGATTTTTCAAGGCCATATGGATGAAGAAGAAAATGGCGAAGCAGAAAAAGGTAGTCCGGGTTCTTAGACACCACCAGATTTTACAAATTCCAGTTTCTGAAGTGGTGGTTGGTGATATTTTGTTCTTGGAAACAGGCGATGAGGTCCCGGCTGATGGGATTCTCATTCATGGCAACTCATTCAAGCTCGATGATGGTTTAATCGATGAACACTTTTCAGAACACCCCTCGTTGTTTACTGGTACAAACTTAGTGGAAGGCAACTGCCAGTTTCTCGTGACTGCAGTTGGCAAAAACACTGAAAGATGCAAGTTGATGGAACTGGTGGCAAGTTCCCAACATGATGATATGTCAAAGCTTCATCGATCAATTGATGAGATGAGCTCAGTCTTGGAGAAACTATGGTTGAGTCTCTCTTTGATCATTCTTGTCGTGCAAGTTTTCCGATGTTTCTTGTGGAAATCATGGTGTTGTGATAAGGATCGCAATCCAGATCCTAAGGGTATGAAGAACACAGTGGAGGAAATAATGAACGAGGCCACAAAATACATGAGGAGGAAGCGAGGTGGCACCAATAAGGTTAATGGTTTGGTGGCTATGCTTTGCATATTGTTATTTTCATTAAAAGATGGATTATCTTTAGGCATTTTCATTATTCTTCTATATGCATCGAAGGAGATGAAAAAGGCTCATCAAACCATAGTTCATAAGCTTCCGACGGACGCTAATGTAGCCCTTGTTACCACCCTCTGCCTCGGCAAAACACTTGACTTGGTTGTGAAGCATAAAATGATGGCGGATTTATGGATTGGTTTCGAGAAAATTTTGAACCTTCCTGCAGATAGTGGCGGAGCTGAAGGTAAGTAGATAGTTCAGTTGAATTCCCATCATCTAGAAGTTACTATGTGCAAGTATATAGGGTAAAAACTTTTCTATTTTATGTATATAAACTGTTGATGAATTCCCTTTATAAAGGAAGTTTCTAGCTAGGTAGAGAATTTTTGAATACCCTTATTAAGATTCTTGGCTCCACCACTGCATGCAGATTCTGTTGAGGAAGTCCTGAATGCCTTACTCGAAGGAATTTGCATGAATATAACTGGTGGTGTCAATGATGATTCTCTTCTTATTTGGGCTGAGAAAGTGCTTGGCGGTGATATTGATGAATTGCACGGAAGTTGTACAATCCTAAGCCGTTATAATTTGTATCCTAGCAAAGGACTATGCGGGTTGCTAATAAAGAGAAACAAAGAAGGTGAAGAATTTATGCATGTGCATTGGAAAGGAGAACCAAAGCTGGTTCTATCTATGTGTTCTCACTATTATGACATTAACGGCACCATGCAAACCCTAGATGAGGAAAAAAGAAAGCTGTTCAATGGAATAATCGATAGAATAGTATCCGACGGTGTGTACTGCTTTGGTTTTGCTTATAAACAAGTAAAACCAAAAGAAGAAAGCCCCGTTGATACCGAAAAAGAAGGTGAATTATTCTTCTTTGAGCTCGCGAAAGATGGCTTGAGCTTTTAAGGCATTGTAGTACTAAAGAATCCATATCCACCCGAGTTGAGGCAAACGATTCAAATGTGTCGAGAATCAGGAGTTGAGATCAAATTAATGGTGGATGAAGACTTGCATACTGCAAGATTGATGGCTCTTAATTCTGGAATTCTAAGAATTGAGGAAGACTTACAAGGAGCCATAATTGAAGCTGCTGAATTTAGAAGCAGCCTCAAGGAAGCCCAAATAAGTATGTCTCACAAAATCAAAGTATTGGCTAATAGCACTCCTGCTGATAAACTCCTCTTGGTACATTGCTTAAGAGCTAATAATTGCGGGCTCGTGGCAGCAACTTGTACATGCATTAGAGACTTGCCATCTCTCAAAGAAGCCGACGTTGGGATTTTTATTGGTGAAAACTGTGCGGACTTAGCTAAGGAAGATGCTGATATTACTGTGGTGGACTCAAATTTTGGTATGATCCCAGCCATATTAATCTTGGGCAGGTATGTTTGCACAAACATTGACAAGTTCATACAGTTGCAATTGATACTCAATATTTCTGCATTCACTTCAAGTTTTATTCTCATAATTTTCAATCCCGCGAGTGAAGAACAATTGACACCATTTCAGTTGTTGTGGGTAAATCTAATAATGGAAGTTCTTGGTGCCTTGTTTTTGGCAATCATAACATCAGCCGTAAAGCCTGAGTCTTTGGAATTTCATCAAGTCATGATGAACTGTTCTAAGCCGACGACTAATTATGGTACGGGTGCACCTATTATAACCAAGAATATGTTAATGAACATAGCTGTTCAATCTATGTTTCAAGTTACACTTCTGTTGATACTTAGCATGAAGGGAAGGGTGATTTTTCGCCTCGATGAGACATTGTTGAGAACCATGATCTTCAATTCTTACGTACTATGCCAAGTTTTTGTGTTGATCATCAGTGCCATTGAGATCACAAAGACAAGTATCTTCAAAGGGAATATCAGAAGAAATCAGTGGAGAAAATGTTTTTTTGTAGCTGGTGTAGTAATTGTAGGAATTACTGTTGCTTTGCAAGTTATACTGATCCAGATCATGTCAAAGATTGCTCACTGGAAAAAGTTAGGAATGAAACAGTGGTCCATCTCTATAGGAACTGCAGCTCTATCTTTGCCCATACACTATGCTGCAAAATTGCTTTCAAATTCCTTCCAAAGTTTCTTGATTATGTGTGTAAGAATGTAATTATGTATTTACTTCAAAAACATTATGTACAGAAATTTGTAAATACTTATATTACTATCCATTATTCATGATTTATGCTACAATGGAAAGATCAGTTCTGTATTTATTTCCACAAATATTCTTGCTAAGTATAAATGATAAGTAATAAATTGAAGATACTTGGCTAAAAGAATCTTTGAACAACCTAAGGGTCGCAATCATCTCAATATCATGGCTCATCAAGTAATCAAAAGGTGAATCTTTGAACTTCCTAAGGTCGCAATCATGGGCTATATATATGTGTGTGTGTTTGTGTGTATCCTAACTAATTTCCAGGTAAGTTCTCCATTGACTTTGGAAGTGTTAAAGTATAGTATCGACCTTTTATTTTATAACAAAGAGAAAAAAGAAGAATTAGAGGTAGAAAAATTAAGTAACAACAATGGTTATCAAAAAATAATAGCAGATATTTCTGTTTCCTTTTCCTTCTTTTGTCATTCTTTCGGGTATTCTACTTGGAGCAAGTAAAAAGGAAGTTGGGAAAGATTGTCCGCTTAACAGATTTTTGATTATTCTAATGGCAGCAGCTAGCAAGTAAAAGGAAAGTAGGACAAATTGGATGCTTAACATATTTTCGTATTGAGTGGAAAGTTTAATTCGTATTGCTNCCCCCCAACCCCCCAATATCTATGCTTTGAACTTACCTATATGATAACTAAATTTTATTTTAAAAAATGGTAATCAAGCATATAATTAATGACGTTGAATAATAAAAAGGATGAGCAAAATAAAATTGAAATCAAATTATTTGCTTATCAATAATTAATAGCAATCAAATTTCAAAAAATCTATTTACACAATTAAGAAAAAAACAATGAGAACCTTATAAACACATACTCAATGCAGGTAATACAAAAATTTATAATTATTAAAAATAAAAGTAGATTTTATAACGAACTTCTGAAAGATTATCTATTTACCGCCGAAAGATATAACTTAAATATATATTTAATGTGTTATATTAAAATAAAAATCCTAGAAGTATGGTAAATTTTGTGATAAATTTTTTAAAGAATCATTTTATTTATAATTTTAATAAATTTGAATTATAATTTATGATGAGGTATAACAATACTTTAATTATAGGTAAAATCATTTTAAAAAATAGCATAATTATAGGTAAAATCATTTTAAAAAATAGCATATACAAAAAAGAGAGTATTACATAGAGGAATTGAAAATGATAAGGGTAAAATAGACATTGTATAGAATAAAATGGGGGAGGGGGATGAGGAGAATGATAATTTTTCAAATTTAAGGGGAGGATGAACTAAATTTGATTTAATCATATTGCTTGTGGCCTTAATCTCCTAAATTTAATTATTTGACCTAATAACCAAAATTATGTTAAATAAAGGAATGATAAAGCGACAGATGAAGAACAGTACGTGTTAAATAGATTTAAATTGGAAAAAACTGTCTTCACTAAGTTACTTTTTTCTCTCTTTTTTCTTTCTTTCTATTTCTTGACTTGATTTAAATTACAGGACGCAGTAGATTTTGAAAAAAAAAAAAAAAAAGAAATAGTTGAGGACGAGGTGATGATTCAGTAACTGACGTATATAAAGCCTTAATAAATAAAAAAACCTATAAATCTAATTGTTAAACTATTCATTCGTTTGTCTTTTCTAGACAACAAGCAAGGGCGCTCGTGGCTTTTGCGAAAGGACACAGTTACGACTTTAGCAGCTTCTCTGCACTATAAAGATTTTAAAACAAAGACATCAACCACCAAGTAAGGGTGATGGAGAATGTTTTGGTGAGGAATTATTTATTTTTTATAGTGGTCTTATTCGACCAAATTTTAATTAATAGAATCAAGTAAGTTTCAAATACCAGATAATTTATAAGCATCAACCTGAAGTTTATTTTAATTAGTTGAGCCATTTTCTTTACAAACTTAGTTGAATTAAGTAACTACAGGTAACGAGGTATAATCTTGTTGAATTAAGCATGGAAGTTTAGCAGTTGTTTTCTTTCCTTTTCGTTTGATCCAAGCAAAAGAACTCTATTCAGTTTTACCGGGTATGAAAGCACTCAATCTAATGCAAATACACCTAAAGAATTGCTATTCATGCATTCGTGTACAAACCAATATAATGCAAACGAAGTAATCCCTCCGTTTCAATTTAGATGAGGTAGTTTGACTCGGTCCAGAGCTTAAGAAAAAAAAAACTTTTGAAACTTGTGATATTAAAAGCTTAAGGGGTAAAAGCTGTGTGAAACCATGATATTTGTGTGATTATAAAATTTTCTCATTAAGGATAAAATGAGTAAAATAAAAAATTTAAAGTTTGAATTATTTCTAAATTTAAAAATATGTCATTTATTTTAGAACATACTAAAAGGAAAGTATCTCATCTGATTTAAAACGGAGGGAGTAACATAAATAAATATTCCGATAATTATTTATTTTCATCAGCCAGCGAGAAGTTTGGAATAAGTTTAGTGTTTCTTCCATTAATCATAGGGATCAAGGCAGCCTATACGATCATAGAAGGATTTGTGTGAATAATGGAAGGAACTTTTTCAACTCTACCACGTACGGTAATATAATATATTTTCAAGCAAAATAATATACAAAAGCAACAAGAGTGATAATATTATTATATCTTATTTTAGTTAACAATTATTTTTTATTAAACTAAAATAACCAACAAATAAAAGTTTTAAAATTATGTATATACGTATAAACTATTGTCCACGTGAAGCCCCGTGTGATACACGGTTAGGAGCTAGCTCGGCATACAACATCATGTCATAACTTAAACGTAAGAATGGATGAGGCAGATGCCGTACAGGGAACATATTGGCCCTACAAGTAGTACTTCTTTTCAGCTTTTATATTGTTTTATTTTTAAATTTGTTTTTGAGGGTTATGTCGCTTCTCAAAGTTATTTCTTTTTATAGATATATAAGATCTTAAAGCTTTTAGTAAAAGCGAAAATTCTTGGAAGTTGGGACTTTCGAGGGGTTCAGCCGCCGCCACAACCGTCTTTTCTTTCTCTCTAGATTTTCTAATCAACATCACAAGACAATAAAATGTTAAAATAAATTATTATGTCAAACTTTGGTATAGAAGAGTATAATATAATAATTTAATGTATAAAACGTTAGTTAGTTAGTGATATTATATCCAATTTCAATAACATAGAGAAACTAGTTAAGCTGATATTTTGCCAAGTTTGATTAGCATACTCCTTCTGTTTTCATTTACGTGAACTTGTTTGATAGTTTAAGAAAAAAGAAAAAACTTTTGAAATTTTTGTAAATATGCTATAATATTTGTTTGATTATAAATCTTTTGATACTTGTGATGTAAAATATTGGCATACCATTTGTGTGAATGTGAAAGTTTTTCATTCAAGATAAAATCGCAATCCTAAAATTAAGAGTTTTCCTATCAAGAAAGGGTTCATCGATTTTGAAATTGACTAAAAAGAAAATAGATTCATATAAATTGAAACAAATGGTATAATATTTATACCAATTCAAATTACTTGACAGAGCAAGTTTATTGAGAGCCTGGAGAAAAAAGTAATGTGCAGGGATTGGAATTGCAATGGTAATCTTACTCGCCTACACCACTAAAGCATAATATCACAAAATATCTTGTTTTTTTTTTCTTTTGTGTACTTCTTCACTACCTCTGAAACAATTGACTTTTTTAGATGATATATCAGTCAGATTTACAAGAATATGCAATTAGTGCAATTTGTAGCGTTTAATATGCAAAAGGATCCTGTTTGATATATGTATCTGTCAAATTTACACAGTTCAGCTAGCTAAAATTCTGTCGTTTGAGCAAATGAATTCTGCATTCAGCGGATTGATAGACAAAAATAAAAAGACTGACAATGTAACATAAAAGAGTATTTCTTGGAATTGTCTCAAACTTGATTCAGTTACTGTATTATTTGCTTATGGAGTTGCACAATACCAAAAAGAGTATAAAACACCCGTTAAGACACTGGAAGAGAAAACACCAATATAAAAATTTAGACATAGATCCACACCAAATGAGCGCTGAACTTGAGTTCTCTTTGCCACCTCCATCTCGATTTAGGTACTAAAGTTAATATTTAAATATTCAGAAACTACACCCGAAGTACTTAGACATTAAAATAACAAAACCTAAACATTTTAAGGGACAACATAAAAACTATCAACACAACTGCAAGTTCCACACAATTTTACGCCTATGGTATGTGGTGTAACACACCAACTTTTATAGTGATTCCGAGGACCCTACTTCTCGGTTATCTTTCGTTAAATTAAAAATATAAAAGGGGGTCAACAGCCAACTTTGATGTAGAAATTACACAGCCTAGTTTAGATTTTGGATTTCATCTCTATGCAGATATAATATAGTAATAAAATGATAACCTCTGAACTGCCTCATGGTAAAGATTGGATGCAAGAGACAAACGAGGATCCTGATTACAGGTGATAACAAGTGCTTTGTCAAGTGATTAAAGCAGCTTCAGTCTCACAGGAGTATGCTAATTTTGAAAAATGAACAAAAAGATTCCCCTGGATCGACAATAACATAATACTACCAAGGTATAAGACTCAAAACCATTAGCAAAAATACATTCTTTACACCCACCTAAACCCAAAGAACCCCTTGCGGAGAGATTAGGATAGAAGAAAAAGAGACCTCTCTACCCAGCAGCAGTTTGCGCAAGTAGAGATGGTTTGCCCCTTGCATCATCTCGACTGTGGACTTGTGACAAATTATAAAGGTCCTAATGCCAAATGTAAGAATACTTTTAAAGGCTGCTGCAATCATTTTCCGTTACTTCCAAATGTAATGAGCCCAATTTCAACCATTCTTTGACTTGCTTTCCTGCAAGACCAGCTCTGGGATTGCAAAAAAAGGAGATGAGAGAGGGAGATGAGCCAATAGTCCCACATCCACTCTTACTGTTGTGATGCTATCGCCAAGAAAAATCTAATCG